ATTCAAATGCATTTTTAGAAACACGTTTTAGTCGATACATATCCGTTTCTATTACTAAATGATGCGTTTCAATGCGTTTTAAAAACTGCGTTTAAAGTCTAACGAAAACATGCGAACTAGAAAAACAATGCTTTGAAACGCAAAGTTTTACAAATTTTTTTTCATGGGCTAAGCCACATTGCAAAACAATATAATTCAAACAAGATGACTATACTGCAATTTATCCCCAGTTGTTCTGAAACTACAATCTCGAAAATGACTGATGCACGTAACTGTCATGCTTTATAGACTATCATATACAGAATATTCAATTGCCGAGTTACTGCAGTTTTTCAAAAATCGTGAACATTGCACGAAACTCAGAACAGATAAATACTCCTCCTTCATAGATCTCAATATGTTTTACTCAAATCAGAAGCAAAAATCAGTTTGTGAAAATCTATAGCATGTTGTAAATTTCAAAACTTCGATGTAAAATCAAGATAATTGACTATGTTCATGTGGTAATATATAAGTGACATGTTACTTCCATGTAGGTTTTTTTTGGAAAATCTGTGACAAAGAAAATGATGTTATTGTTCTCCATTATTTCATTGATTAACTTTTGTCTTGTGAATCGGTATCTGTGATATCGAAATAAAGCTATTCTTGATTATTAATTGTATATTTTTTGGTTATAAGATGTTTTTATGAAATTTGATAAACTCTTAAGTCAAATTCAATTGAATGAAGTTAGAAGATTGCGTCATAAAATCGAAGAACCATTGCCAATCACCACTTTTAACGCAACTCATAATGAGGAAAAATCATCCATTGAACTCAATAGCTATTTCGTACATGCGCAATTGCTAATCGACGTTGTTCTTCGAATAAAAGCATCTTCAACAGACAAAAACGAACTGATTTCTTTCTGCATGGAAGAATACAAGAATAATAGGACTGCATTGAATAATATTTGCCGAATTCGAACGAGACTATATACCTGAGAAAGCTGTATGGTGGTACACAAGGGGAGTCACTTCTCTATAAAGTATTAAATAAAGCACTTCGCGTACAGAAGATCGATTTCATCTTTCGTTTTCCGTTGTTTCTGCGTGATCTTCTAGAACAACTCAAACAAAACCAACTGTTATCACCAATTGGTGTCTATCGTGCTCAATTGATATCACTACAAGAATTAGAAATCATGAAACAGTCGATTCGACATTACCTTTCAATGAGCTCATTTCTTTCTACTAGTTTTGATCGTCAATTAGCCATGTTTATTCTTGGCGACTCCGACGCATCGAACGACTTATTGAGGGTTCTGTTCCAGATTGATCTTGATCCTAAAGTTGTTACAACGAAACCATTTGCTGATATTACTGTTTTCAGTTATTTCGGTGAAGAAAAAGAAGTTCTAATTATGTTTGGCGCTGTTTTTCGCCTGAAGAACATTTATATGTATGAAAATGAAATTTGAATTATTCGAATCACTTTGTCCAGTGAAAATGATCAAGATTTTAAAGCTTTATTTGAGTATATGCAGAAGTAATACCAAGATGGAGAAACAGGCCTTCTATCATTCGGCGATTCTCTGTGGAGAATGGGAAAAGTTGATGATGGTGGGAGATACTATAATCGAATGCTCCATGAACTGCCTTATGACCATCCAGATATTGCTATTTGCTATTACGCACTCGGTTTGGTGGCATCGGCTAAAGGAGACTTTGACTTGAGTCTTGAATGGCATTATAAATCAGCAGAGATGATAACGCAAGAGTTGGGACCAAATAATCCTAGCCTTGCTAATAGCTACAATAGCATTGGCTTTGTTTATAGGAAGAAAATGAATTACAATGGGGCGCTTGAATCCTATAATAAAGCATTGACAATTTATCAACAAACATATGGCAAGGATGATCCACATGTAGTGGTATGTTTGAATAATATGGCTAATATTTACAATGAAATAAAAAATTACTCAGGAGGCACTCAGATGTCATCAAATGGCATTAAACATATTCAAGAAGCATCGTCCTTCTGATAATCCCGAGCTAGGTATAGCGCACAACAGTATTGGAAGTGTATATGGTTCTCTCGGTGAGTATGATCTTGGCTTGAAACATTTTCATTTGTCATTTAAAATCTATGAAAAATCTCTTCCACCTGAGCATTCCCATATTGCCATGATGTTGGAAAATATCGGTCTTGTTTATGAAGACAAGCATGAATTAGAACAAGCATTTGCATTTTACACGAAAGCAGCAACGATCTTTCACCATTCCTTACCTCTTACACATCCTCGTGTTGTCGAAATCGAAAGAGACATCCAACGTATTTTATCTGATATCAATTAATGTTATCCTCATTTCATTCGCTAATATCTTTCCAATATCTAAAGCTAAAATAAAAAAGATATTAATATTTTTTCTCAGATAATGTTTATCTTAATATGGTTTCTTATGAAAGAGTGTGGGTGTGGGTATGGGTGTGTGGAGTGTGCATAATGTGGAGCATGTATGGGTAATACAATTAAACTCACACCCTCTTTCTTTATCAGAATAGTTATTACTAAGCAATATATCATCAATGTTCTACAGATCAATTTATTTTCATTCAAAACAAATAATAAATTTGACAAACTGAAATATTCATCTTATACTTTTCTCAACAAATCACAAAAAAAAGTATTTATAAGTTTATTTACAAGATCGGCCGATTAAATTTTTGTGCAACATCCATCACACCATGAACACTTAACATGGCTTTATTCATTGACTAGTATCTGGAATAATAGTTGCTGTTTTTTGATAATCTTTTATTATCTCTATAAATATTATGTCAAACGTCTATATTGTCATGGATAATATACAGAAGTAAATAATATCATTTATATAACATATTAACATATGTAGATCTATTTTGACAAATTATTTTATTCGATAACGTGTTTAAGCGGCCATGGCCAAAGCCAAAATGTGTTGTCGTCGGTGAGTGCGTGGTCGTCTACATTTATTAGTGTTTTCGTATCGGTTGAAAAGGAACGTGAACCGTTGATTGTTTATAAGTGTCATTTCTTCAGACATAGAATCAATAACGGCATCGTCTTCATCTTCTGATTCTTCACATATTTCTAAACTTGTTGGTATAGATTGTACTCTTTGTAAATGTTTTGATCGTTTTTTCTCTTGTTTCGTCAACATCTTTTGATATTTGATCTTAGATGCTCCGAGACTGGAAGATTTGTTCTTCGCAACTTTTGAAGTAAGATTCCCTTGCCAATTGTATGAAGTACTTGTAGAATATATGGCAGTGTTTTTTATGAATAGTATCCACTGTCGCTGAAGCACATGTTTCACAATATCAATATGTGATTGATCTTCTATTGAAATAATAGTCCAAAGACCATTAATGGCTTGAATGGCTTCTAAGTAATTTGAGCATTGAGCTACTAATTCATATTTTAATTGGACGACTTCACTTAATAATTTTTTCGATGTGTTTGATGTCACAAATTGAACATCAAAATGAAGAATTTTCTGTAAAGTACTTAGTTGTTTTCGTTGCCGAATAATAAATTGATTTGATATGGTAGCTTCCGTTTGTGAATCTAATAAAGTTGGAAAAGGTAAAACTGCATAATTAACAATTTTTGACGGTGATGATGAAACATTTGTTTTAACATAATGTTTTAAATCAAGTTGAAGACAAAGAAGTCGCAATTGATCAAGATCCATTGACGTTAAAAGTGATTCTGTTGTTTGTAGTACTTCATTTTTTCTTTTGTCAGGACATGAACAACATCGTTTTGGAAGCTGTCGTAATGTTAAGACTGTAAATTCGTTGGTTTGTCGTAGTTTATTGATAGCAGCATGAAATTGAGAAACAAAATGACGATCATGAACAAAACACACCATGACAATAAATAGCTTAACGCGACACGTCGCTACCTTATGAAGGTTACCTTTTTATAGTAGCTGATAAGGAAGAAAATTTCACCGTCGATGACGTTTAATCTGAAATATTGCGCAATAATCACAAAAAGAAGAACAGATGTAGGTAATTTTTCGTGATTCATTGGGAAATCCTATGTTAACGTTATTTCATAAAATTCAAAAAAAAATACACCTATGATAATTATTTTAAGCTTTTTAAGGATTGTTATGTCACAAACGACTGAAAGATAAGAGAATTTTTATTTCAGATATATCGATGTGAAGCTAGCACGACGACCAATCAGCACCGATCTTCCATTCCACCAATCAGCGCTCGAGCATAAATTACCATACCTATTCCATATATTACAATCGCAAACTTCCTTAGCAATCGCACATTTCAAGAGAATTGAATTCTCTACAAGATGAGCTAGACCGGATCTACGGGCAATGGGTAGTTTTTTTGAAAAAAATTTTTTTCAAAATTTTTTTCCATTTTCTTGGGTGATGGATCCCATTGTTTGGAATGTCTCACATGGATGGAAATCGAATCTATCTATATGCTACAGAGGAGTTTGTAGAGAATTGAATTCTCTACAAACCCGTCTATACGATATAGAAGGAATCGATTGCCATCGAGGTGGGAAATTCCAAAGAATTGGATCCGCCACATCTAAAAACGGAAGAAAATTTAAAAAAAAATTTTTTTTCAAAAAA